ATCTTAATTTGGCCAAATTTCTTCTTTGTTAACTTGTGGGTGTCTAAGTAGGTATAAGTGCACAGTACTTGGCCCCCATCAATTTTTTTTTCTTTTTTGACATTTACATCATTACATTACATGTAAAGAGAAAGGGAAGAACATAAGCGCAGAAATGAAAAGGAAGAAGATAAGTTAATTTGCCTATACTGAGAGTTACTGCTACTTATCGATGGTTGTGCTTGTGCAGCATAAAAATTATTTTTTGTGAGTAAGTACTATACATTGTACATAAAGCAAATGCTGTAAAGATAGGAAATCAATTGCCGAACTGGTCATGTCATGAAGCTCACCAGGGAGCAGATACCAAATTCAGATAGAGAACTTTTCGTGCTTATGTGGATCGTTGGTTCCTCCAATCGATCACCTTTTGCCATATGGGCTGTTTAGTCAGCCCAGCCCAGCGTAGGGCCCATCATCATAGATTGTGAATTAAGTCTAGTTTACGTCCCTCACATTTTCGTCAAGATTAATCAGAAATCTTAAATACCTACTTACAAAACCGGGTTAAATGAGATGAGATGTACCGTGGGCGACGACGAACTTGGGGGCGTGCATCCGGTGTGGGTGTGGCCAGTACGTGCAAGAGGAGAGGACTGGACTGCTGCACCTGCGGACACATCCACATCACGGGCGGGCCGCCGTCGTTTAGGCATAGCACCGCCGCACGCTCAAGTGACCCACGGCGCCGCCCTCGACTTCGCGTCGTGCTTCTCACTGTCGCCCCGCCCGTCCACGTCGTCGTCGTCGTCTCCAACCAGCTATAGCTCATTCTGCACAACGTACGTACGGCAAGATGAAAACCAAACCGTGTTCCCTGCTAATTAAAACTAGCTGCCCTAGTTAATGCCTATATAAGCCCTTGTTTTCTTTCAGGTATTTAAATTTTTAGTTTCAAGTGCCAAATTTGTACTGTGTCATTCATACCTTCGATCTTTCGCTCGCTCTTACTAGTAGGAATCTTTGCAACGATGATATTAATTAATTAATACAATATGAACTTAAAAATAAAGTTCTTGGGTTTAGTAAAGATCGATACTACACATAGTACACGTTTTACACTACTCATGTGATCCAACCTACTAACCCTTATATGATCTGAAATAATTACTACTACTACTATATAGTATAAGTACATAGCCCTTATGAGGGCTAGGGTGAAAAAAAGCTTTTTTTTTCTGTCCTATGCAGTAGTAATATGTTCGTATATTGCAACGGATCTATACGACAAGAAATAGAAATGATTTGTGAGTATGATCGAGTATATATATACTAATATAAAACGGAGAAGTTTTTTTTCCTACATCCATCTAGTAAAATGTACACATGATTTCCCTTGTTTTTCTATAGCCATCAGATCAGATCCTTTTGTCTAACGGCTGAAAACGTCCACAATTGGCTAGTCTAACATTGCTATACGGTGAACTCACCGCAGAAACGCCCACTGCCAGACGCACTTCTCCCACATGCTAATACCATCGCCGTGCCTTCTACTCTATGAAAACATCACCGTCACACCCTGCTTCTCCAACACCGTTGCTCCCTTCATGGCGTAACCTCGCTCCTCCAACGCCGATGCACGCTTCCTTCCACTACGGTGCGTCTCCGCTCACTACAAATCACTTCTCTCACTGCAAAATGCATCACATCCTCCTCTTGCGTCGGAGCCTTGGTCCAGTACTGTTGCATACATCCTCCCGTGACGGCGCGCCTCCTTTCTTTTTAAATAGTAAAAATAGAACTATTTAATCAGTATAATTTCATATGTATAAAAAAATTAAATGATAAGGCATTTTCAAATATAGGTACATGTAATTGCGAATATCTAGCTAGCTATGCAATTAATCAGGTGCTTAAGATGATGTCACTTAGATGGTTAATTAATTACTTTGCTGATGTATCTGGTAGCTTTTCTTTAGCGTTTGAGATGCAAATGAAAATGGGGAGCATCCATCCAGAGTAGTCCATGTGTGTCACGCATTCGTGTATTCCATCGGATTCCCCTGCCTGCAGACTTGCAGATACAGTTGAGCGTACAAATAAACCATCAACAAAATGGTCCTTATTGCGCATGCTGCTTCCTGCATCAATTCTCGATCGATCAATCATCGTGCAGATCAACACGAATGGTCCACGGTACAGAGACAGCCGCCCCCATGCACCTGGTTTTTTCAACTCTGGTTTTCAATTCGTCATTTGTTCATTGTTCACATGTTCGTGTACATGTACATGACAAATTGACAACCAGTACTTCATTGTACAGGTACTACTGTACTAGCAGACGCTATTACTTTTCACTCACTCCGTTTCTAAATATTTAACGCTGTTGATTTTTTTAAATATGTTTGACCATTCATCTTATTTAAAAAATTTAAGTAATTATTAATTCTTTTTCTATCATTTGATTTATTATTGTTAAATATACTTATATGTATACATATAGTTTTATATATATCACAAAAATTTTTAAATAAAACGAACGGTCAAACATGTACTTAAAAAGTCAATGGTGTCAAATATTTAGAAACGAAGGGAGTATTTTATAATCTTAAAAATGTACATATACTTAATTACATCGATCAATACGTGTTGCCTAGCTCGAAAGTCGAAACCCAAAATTCAATTAGTCAATCTACTACTACTACCTTGTAAAAGGCTCAGGGGGTGTTTGGGAGAGAGGGGCCTCAGTTTATATGCGGTTTGGTTTAACTATAGTTTGATCATCACTTAAGACTAAAATGTCTTCTCAAAATTTCTGCTGGTGCAACTCTACATAATATTTAAAGCGTGCAGATGCAATCCGCATAATACGAAGTGACAGAGCATATTAATTAATCGATGAGAATCAATTTCATAATCATGGAGGTTTTGTTATGACTGATCAGAACATTATTTGCCTAAATGATGATCAAACATGGATGAAGGAGATTGTATATAATAATTATCAAATTAAGATGTTGTCACATCAATGTCCTAAGTGACAAATAAAAAAATAAGAACACCATGTCGGTGTTTGTAATTCATTTTATATAATGAAAATGGATTATGTCGGTGTCTTCAATTAATAACAAGTAAAAAGGAGAAAAGAATGGAGGTAGTAACTAATTAATTGATCAGAGGAAAGTATTACAGTGATGCATATATCCATTAATGGACGCATGGACGAAATTGATCGGAACGGTTGGAATCGGTAGTAAATCTTTGAAAACAATTCTCGGTTGGTCGAGAATGAACCATGCATATTTACCAATTTAACTATTCAATGTCGATATAACAGTACGATGTTAAAAGAAATTAGAAAAAGAAAATCAAATATTATATATGACTAGAATTAGAAATGATATCACTTATATAATAATAACGATGCCGGGTCAATCAGAAAATTCGGTGGCAATAATATATATACCAGCAATATACATGTGCGCATATATAGAGCATACATTAGGAAATTAATTTCGGAAAAGGAGAATGAAGTTTGAGAGTGACATACATAGTCTTAATCTGGCTGCGCGTATATAGTTAGCTAGCCAGGTGGTAAATGGATTAAGGAGATGAGGGAGACATGCATGTTTGTGTCGTTTATATTGAGAAAGAGAGAAATAAATATAGGGGGGCTACGACAGCGGGGCGGCGCTGGATGGATGCTGTATATATATATGTGGCCGGGCAAGAGCGAGCACAGCCGGCCGGAGGAGGAATTAAGCAACAAGCTAAGCTAAGCTAGCCAGAGGAAACAACAAGGAAAAGGAGAGATCGATCGAGCGATGGAGCGGTCGACGACGACGACGACGGAGCAGCAGCAGCAGCAGCAGCAGGGGCGGAGGAGAGGCGCAGGATGGCGGCGTTGGGCGGTGCTGGTGGCGACGGTGTGGATACAGGCGGTGACGGGGACAAACTTCGACTTCTCGGCCTACTCGTCGGCGCTCAAGGCGTCCCTGGGTGTCTCGCAGGAGGCGCTCAACTACCTGGCCACCGCCTCCGACCTGGGCAAGGCGCTGGGCTGGTCGTCGGGCCTCGCCCTCATCCACCTCCCCCTCCCCGCCGTCCTCCTCCTCTCCGCCGCCTCCGGCCTCGCCGCATACGCCCTCCAGTACGCCCTCATCCTCGACTACCTCCACCTCCCCTACCCGCTCGTACGTACACACTTCGTCTTCTCTCTCTCTCTTTTTTTTTTCTTTTCTTTATTATCGATCGCCTATTCGCTTTGTTTTAATTAAGCTTGATTATTCAATTAGCTTTCTAGTTACGAGTACCTATAAGGTGTCCTTCCATCATGATTATATACAAGAAATATAATGGAGATCTTAGCCAACTATGCTGATTGATCGTAGTAGTACGTGGATGTATAGAGGCCAAGGCCGGCCAGCAGGGTTTGGAGATTCGAGATCGATAGTACTAGTAGTAGTAGTAATGAAGCTACTGATCTGAGTGGCCACAAATAAGTTGCAATCATATATCACATTTACGGACGCAATTCTAACGTCCCATTCAACTGCTACTGAATTATATGTATATTAAATCGATATCTGAGAGACTCAATGCATCCATATCTCTCCGTCGCCGCGCCCACCTCTCGTTTTTCCTTGGCTTACAATTTTTTGGAATCGTCTGCTGCAATCGATTACCATTTACCAATATACTCCTACTGTGTATTATAATATTGCCCATGTTATACATAGTCAATCTTATATACTGTGTATCTGCAGCAATAAGTTAGTTTCTGCCTTAAACATGTATCTGGATTAATTGATTACTTCAATCAACTCAACGTATATTTTGGGATGGAGGGAATAACAAACAACTCCTAACCAACAACACCCGCATATGCCATCATCAACCACGATCAAAAGTGTTTATTTAATTGATTCTTTCTCATCTCCCTTTTAATTTTCATAAATGTTAGCTGCTTGCGCCTATTTCAAAAGATGAAGAGCCAAAAATAAAAATCCCACACACGATCGAAGAAGAAACAAACAAATGGTTCTCAAGTCTCAGCTTAAAATGGTCCAGAAAAGTATAAATAGCTAAAACTCCATCGGTAAGTTCACGCTTCACTCATGAAAAACTCACGAACAAACTAACGCTACGGCACTATGTAAAACTAAAATCCATTCTGTTACTCTAAACATCCAGGTAGCTCTGTGTCCTGAATTACAGTTAATAAAACTCGCTATCAAAATACCCATGCCAGTGAATCCTGCATTATTGGCATCATCATGAATTAATGCCTTCCTGCCCAACTATCAGTTTCAGCTTCAATCCAACTTTGACTAGCAGATGAACAAGCTACCATTCTCCCCCCAAAGAATTCTTCTTACAGAAGGACCATCACTACACTGTATCCCCTTCTTTTGGTTTCTTTCTGACTGGTAGGTGTTGATGCAACTTGCCAAGTCACCTCCTTCCTTCAACTTCTCCATCATAAACAGTAGCAAGAAAGAAGCAGCACATCCTTTTTATCAGTTACAGTAACCAAATAGTATGAACGTATTCCTGATTTTAGGAGTCCATAACCAATCCTCTGCTACCATAACATACTTTGAATTGCATAATAAGAGTTGTTACACTGCATAGCTCAAAGACATAATTAGCCGTCCTGGTTACTCCTCTGAAACTAAAACAGCATGCCTAGACAAGGTCAGCAAGTTACCTATTATCAGACCGGCTGCAGTTTTCCTTTTCTGAAACCAAACGGACATGAGGCCTTTAACAAAGCAAGGTCTTCAACCGCCAAACTGAAGGCACTCCCTCTAAAACAGAAGCCACATCATCAGCCTAGAACAAAAGTCCTGACAAAGAAAAGCATTGCTAGCGCGTCAGCCATAAATGTGATCACAACTACAACATCACACATGCCTGTTGCATTGCATTTTTCAGTACTCAGAACAGCATCCTCAACCTGCTCATGCTTCACATATTCTTCCTTTCCTTGGGCAGATCTTTTGATGTCAGTAGGAAGTACGACATCCTTTTTACAGATGAGGAAGCATAACATCCTGATAAATACAAATACCAATTAGATCACAGAATTATTACCGAAGATCATGCCATTACAGTTTTTCCGTAACCGTACATAACACTCTCTTCTAAACGCTACTCGAAGCACCAAATCTGGATTTATCACTTTGTTGTATGCATTACATATTAGTATACTTCATGTCTTGCATACATTAAACCAGGATGTATGACCTGATCGTTGGTACATAATAACTTACTGGTAGGCATGTTGTCCTTTAACTCTCATCAACAGTATTAAACCAGCGATGTATGGACATGCTTTTTAACTGTTTGTGGCCAGTAAAACTGAGCTAACCAACTGATGGACTAATTTGGATCATGTATTACTATGCAGGTGTTCTTGATCTGCCTGGTAGCAGGTTGCAGTATCTGCTGGTTCAACACAGTATGCTTTGTGCTCTGCATTCGCAGTTTCTCCTCGAGCAATCGCCCACTGGCCCTCTCCCTCTCCATAAGTTTCAATGGGCTAAGTGCTGCATTCTACACCCTCTTTGCCAATGCCCTCTCCCCCTTTTCCCCATCTGTATACCTCCTTCTCAATGCAATTGTCCCTCTCGTTGTATCTCTTGTTGCACTGCCAGCAATACTCCTCTGCCACCCACATGACGGCCACCTCCACGTTGTGCCCAAGCATGACAAACATATCTTTCTTGGTCTCTACCTCCTCGCGTTCATCACTGGCATATATCTAGTGATCTTCGGCTCTTTCAACACAACCAACTCCACTGCATGGGTGGTCCTTACAGGTGCCATGGTCCTCCTCGCCCTCCCTCTCATCATCCCTGCCTCCTCCAGTTGTTCTCATGTGGACACACATGACCCTGAACCTACTGCTCAACTCAACCATGACGATTCAAAAAAACCACTTTTGCTCAATAATAACCACAGCACAGAGTCCAATGCCATGATCCAGAAAACAGTGGAACAGCCGATGCAGGATTGTTGCTTGGGGACAATACTGGAGAAGGGACACATGTTGGTTCTTTGTGAGGAGCATAGTGCAAAGAAGCTTATCCAGTGCGTCGACTTCTGGCTATACTACATAGCCTACTTCTGTGGTGCCACTGTTGGGCTAGTGTACAGCAACAACTTGGGGCAAATTGCACAATCATTTCACCGGGAATCTCAGCTCACCATGCTTCTTGCCGTCTACTCCTCCTGTTCCTTCTTTGGCCGCCTTCTCTCTGCACTTCCAGACTTCCTTCACAGGTCCCTATGTCTTGTTCTATATACTTGCATGCATCTTAATTCTCACTAGCTGGTCCATAAACTAACTATATAATGAATTTGCATGCAGGAAGGTTTCATTTGCTCGGACAGGGTGGCTTGCAGCTGCGTTGGTTCCCATGCCAATGGCGTTCTTCCTAATGTGGAAATTGCATGATGTAAACACTCTGGTAGCAGGAACAGCGCTAATTGGCCTAAGCTCAGGCTTCATCTTTGCTGCAGCAGTGTCAGTGACCTCTGAGCTCTTTGGACCAAACAGCATTGGCATGAACCATAACATCCTCATCACCAACATCCCTCTTGGATCACTTCTCTATGGTCAGATTGCTGCCCTAGTGTATGATGCAAATGGCCTAAAGATGTCAGTAATAGACAACCACAATGGCATGATTGACACTATGGTGGTTTGCATGGGGCCAAAGTGCTACTCAACCACATTCTTCGTGTGGGGTTGTATCACATTCCTAGGGTTGGTGTCAAGCATAATCCTATTCTTGAGAACAAGAACAGCTTACAGTGCTGCTAATGGTCAGCAAGTTATAAACACCACAGCCAAGTTTCGAGTTGACAGAACTCCTTGATATGTTCTTTACTGCTATGAAACCATGTCTACTTTGTACAAGTTTTGATTGAGTTCTAAGTGAACTCGGTTAGTAGATAACATGCATGTAAATAAAATCATCAGAGAGAATTGTAGAGAAAGAAGCAGATTAGGGTAGCAGTTCCATTTACAGGGCATTGATGTTGAGTTGCTGACATCCAAGATGCCACGAAATTAGTTTTGAACAATTGTTTCTAACATAAATAGTAAAATCAAGAACATTTCTCAAGGTTTTTTTTTTCATTTAGCACTTTGCGTATGATGCAGTTGTGGAATTGGATGCCTCTGCCTAACATGCTAGGTTATTACCTCAATAAGAACTACGAAAATTAGCTGGTTCAATGGCACAGTGGAACATGAAATTTAGTTAGGAACACAGCCGGAGCCGGGCAACGTCAGCTATCTTTAATCACAAAAACCCATAGTCCAGTAGCAGCAAACAAATGAAAAAGGATAGTAGTAACACATTAAAAATAGAACTGTTCAACCTCTCCAAGCCTATAATTTCCTTGTTATCTAGTATGAAACATCAGTGCATCACATAAAGATGGCATGCCATCTGTGTATGTGTGTTGAACCAAAAAAAATATATATCAAGACATACGGGTGTATTCTTCTAAAGTATTTGTAGAAGCTACCACCTACCATCCAGAAGTTCGAGAGAGGTACAAATACTGCAAAAATGCTACTACCTCCGTTTCAGGTTACAGGACTTTCTAGCATTGCCCACATTCATATAGATGTTAATAAATCTAAGCACACATATATGTCTATATTCATTAACATATATATGAATGTAGGCAATGCTAACATGAAACGGAGGAAGTACTAGTACATCCAACAAATTACCTCATGAAGGGCTTACAATTGAAGGGTGGCAATGAGTCTAGGGCTATCTTTTCTCTTGGTCATCATGCTTCCTCCATGGATTCAGGGCTTCTCTCATGGCTTGAGCCTCTGGGCTGGTTTCCCAAGCTCTTTTCTCTGACTCCAACACAGTCACCTTCTCATCTGTAGTACAGAGTCAAATAGAGAACATAGATCAACATTAGCATGCAGTGATGAACACAAATAACAAAAAGAAAAATCCTTTTTGCAGCAGCAGGGACGCACAGAAGCCGGTGTGGATCATGAACAGCTCCATGGCAGCGCCTATGGCCGCGCCGCCGGCCGCGATCTTGAGGTACCAGCCCAGGAACCTCATGCCCTCTTCACTAAGGCCGGGACGAGACGCGAATTTTTTGTATTCTCTTGCACTCAATTCGATTGTCGCAACCAAGCTGCCGGCCGGCCTGACGCATCCACAGACCCACAATAACCAATCAATGAAATGAGAATGAACATCAGAAGCAGGGGGAAGGAGAGATCACCGGTGGTACCTTTCCGTCGCCGGAGCGAAGTGAGCAATAAGGCGGAGGCGGAGGCGGATGCGGCGGAGGCGGCGGCCGACGAGGAGGAGGTGAGACGGGGAAGCAGGAGGAGAAGAAAGGGAAGGCAAAGGTTTGGAGTGGGCCTTTCCTCAAGATAAGAAGGCCCACTCCAACTCGACCCAACCCAACCCAAACCCAACCCAAAAATATCACTGCTTGGACGGAGACCACACCACAGTCCACAGTCACACGCTCGCGCGGCATGACGGCGACCTCGCCGCCGATGAGGTCTGTCGCCGCCGCCGCGCTTGTCCTAACCCCCACTCCAACGCTCAACCGTCTCTCCTTTCCCTTCGCCCACCGTCACTGCCCTAGTACTGCTGCTCCTCGGTGGAGGCCCGCGCGGTGCCGCGGGAAGCCGGCGGTGGAGGACGTGGTACACGACGACGAGGAGGAGACCTGGCGGCGGGAGGCCAACCCCGAGAGGAAGGATGGAGGAGAGGAGATGCTCGGGCGCGGGTGGTTCATGGTTGATGAGATTGGTATGGAAATCCTCACCATCGCCTTGCCTGCTGTGCTCGCCCTCGCCGCCGACCCCATCACGGCGCTCATCGACACCGCCTTCGTTGGCCATGTCGGTAAGGACCTTAATTGCTTCCTCACTTACTACTTGTAATTGTCCCTTCATTCTATACAAATCTACATTTACCGCACAAGAAAAATTATATCCCCTTTTGGACTGGAGTGGAGAGTGAGCTCCTCAATTTCTTGCGTCGGTTCTTGACAATGAAATAGGGAAAAATATTCTTTCTATGAAATTACATGCTACGATGACTTCAATTCTGAACTCAGAATATCTGTTTCCGCTGTCTTATGTTGTGAAGAAACTTATTTCTTACACATTTACATTCTTATTTGCTACAAAAATGTTGATCACGATACTAATTCACTTGGCGGTCTCCAACTCATTCACCAGGTTCAACTGAACTTGCTGCCGTTGGAGTATCCATTTCTATCTTCAATTTGGTATCCAAGCTGCTCAATGTCCCATTGCTCAACGTCACCACATCCTTTGTTGCCGAGCAGCAGGCAGTGGATGCCGATTATAACAGCTCCGTAGAAAAGTAACCAATCTGCACATCTTATTTGCTTTTTAAAATCTTTCCTTCTTGTTTGCACACTACTGATTAGTGTTTAGTTCTCACATAGGAGAAGAGATTTCCATTTCACAAGAGAAAGCAGGTGAACAAAGGAAGTTTCTTCCAGCTGTCTCAACATCCTTGGCTCTAGCTGCTGGCATCGGATTGATGGAAACCGTGGCACTGATCCTTGGGTCTGGGACACTACTGGACATCGTCGGTGTACCTGTCGTACGTAAGCTAATTTATTTCAGTATTCAGTTATCTAGGATTTATCTGTTCTCTGAAACATGGTTGTTGATATCTAAAATCGTGTGTAGAACTATCAGCTAGGTGGGTCAAGTGCCACATTTTTTGTCGTGTTTTTATGTATTCATCTTGATGTATATTACTATTACTTCAAAAATGTTTCCAGACCTATTCTATGTGCTTTATTAGTCAAGTTTTCAGCTGATAATAAGGAATCAAAACAACAGTCCTTGATCAATGTGTGAATATGAAGCCAAACTAGAATTTACATTAAAATAATAGCATGACACTATAACAATATTTGGACAAAGTTTGTACCGTAAGCATATTACTTATTTATATGGATACCAGCATATTACAGAGCACAAAATATTTACCTAACGGGCCCTTGAAACTGATCACCCTAAAGGCATTAGCCCATTAATAAAATTTTGGGGGACCAAATTTAGTCTGCAACACCTACTCTCCTTTGGTTTATTCATTTCAAACATAGTGAGCTTAAGGCTACGTAACCTTGGAATTATTCTAAACAATCTTTATTACAGATCTAGCAAGTTCTTAATACTCTTGCTTCAACATAAGTTCTCTATACAACCTACACAGGATTCACCGATGCGTATACCAGCTGAGCAATTCCTTACTTTAAGGGCATATGGTGCACCGCCAGTCATAGTAGCGCTTGCAGCACAAGGTGCTTTTCGTGGATTCATGGATACAAAGACACCGTTGTTTGCTGTGGGTAAGACAATGTATGCAAACTCTTCTGGATGAAATAATTGGTTTTAGGGTGCTTTTCAATTCTTCCGTCTTCCATTTGGACTTGCTAGTTGCTTTCAATCTGGTATTTGAATACCAACACTTCTTTTTAGATGAAATACCTTCACTACTTGTTTCAGTGCATGTGTAAATTCTCATGATACAATTTGATTGATAGTATTTCTCACATGCATCTTTTAGTTCTTATAACTATGTTTTTAGTGTTATTTATATGTTCTGTGCTGGCTGTTAAGTTCAAAATAACTTAAATTTCTGAGCATGTGTTCTGAAATTCAGCCTGATGCATATGATCTGCTGTGGTTATTCAAGTATAGTTACTTATTTTATTGTTACTATGGTTTGTTTCTTGTTTAAGACAATAAATTTATTCGACTCAAATTATAAGAAACTAATACTCTGGTGCTTACAGTTGCTGGTAACCTAGTGAATGCATTGCTGGATGCTATATTTATTTTTCCACTTGGTCTAGGAGTAAGTGGCGCTGCATTGGCAACAGTGACTTCTGAGTATGTTGAACTTACTGTGAGACTTTACAACAAATTTACCTTTTCTTTCAATTGTAGTCTCTTCACTTATCTCAATATTTTCTATAAGTTCTCATAGATCCCTGATCTATTTTTCATAATTATCTGCATGTATTTAGGTATTTGACAGCGTTCATCCTCCTCTGGAAGTTGAATAGCAAAATAGTTCTGTTCTCATGGAATATTGTTTCTGGAGACATCATCCGCTACCTAAAATCTGGTTGGTCAATATTCCTCATGTTGATTTCCAAAGACTACAAATGGTGGTCTTGCTTCGTAAGAAAACGTTGATCTAAATGAACAGATGAAACTATTGATAAGCTCCAAGTCCATTTAGTACTTGCTCTATTAAACAAGTTTCATCTTGCTGCAATTTATCTCTATTAAACAAAAAAAAAAACACTTTAACATACACCAATACATGATTCTCTAGGTGCGCTGCTAATTGCAAGAACCATAGCAGTAGTCCTGACATTCACTGTGTCGACATCCCTGGCTGCCAGGGAAGGGTCTGTTCCAATGGCTGGCTATGAGATATGTTTGCAAGTGTGGCTAACGATTTCTCTACTCAATGATGCACTAGCTCTTGCTGGTCAGGTGTGTACATTTACAGGAACAGACCTTTAGTTTCTAGCCTCTAATTGTGTTCACTTGTAAAGTGTTCATAATATAATGCAGGCTCTACTTGCAAGTGAATACGCAAAAGGAAACTATAAGAAAGCCCGTATTGTCTTATACAGAGTTCTGCAGGCAAGGAGACATTATAATATTATGTTCTCAAATGATTGACATTTATCCTCTTATTTTCGCTCTTGCTATAAGATCCTCATACTATTTTTTTATGTAGATTGGAGGCGTAACTGGTGCAGCACTTTCTACAACCTTACTCCTTGGGTTTGGATATTTGTCCATGCTGTTTACAGATGATGCAGCAGTTTTAGACGTTGCCCAAACTGGAGTCTGGGTAATGACTATTCTGAGAAGTCAATACTTGATTTACCAAGTGATATGCAATGGTTTTATAGTAATTGGCTGATGGATTTTTGCAGTTTGTCACTGTTTCTCAACCAATAAATGCTGTTGCGTTTGTGATGGATGGGCTCTACTATGGTGTTTCTGACTTTGCTTTCGTGGCATACTCTACAGTTCAGATTTCTATTCTTATCATGTCCCATTGTATAGTTTATCAGTTATAGCTGCAGCATCCTAATCACATTAGTATTTTTCTTGTTTCAGTTATTTGCGGGAGCTATCTCATCAGCAGTACTGCTTGTGGCCGCTCCTAAGTTTGGTCTTGGTGGCGTCTGGGCTGGCCTTACTCTATTTATGAGTTTGCGAGCAATTGCTGGGTTCTGGAGGTAGTAATGGATGATTGCTTAGGATGTAGGCCAATTCTGTTAGAAAGCAAAGTTGTTGACTTGAGTGATTTTGTGGTTTTTCAGGTTAGGGAGCAAAGGTGGACCATGGAAAATAATCTGGTCTGAAACTGAGTAAAGAAAAAAGATAGTGATGCATAATTATTAGATTAACATCTTACAGCAAACATGTAAAGGCAACTACACAGGAAAGGCAGATAGCTGCTGGTCATAGTTCAGAATAAGATTTTCTTTGGGAGATGACAAATGTATGTAGTGATTTGGTTACAAGAAGTACAGATACAGATACTTGTTGGTGGCTCTAGATAGATAGCTCTCTCTTTGTTTTGACTGCTATAGGAAGTTGATTCGACTTGTACAGTGCTGTCCTATAGAATGGACAAAGCTGATAGCTGATGTACACAGGAACATTCAGAATCATTCATCCATGTAAATAAGTCTTTCTTTGGGAAAAGTGTACTGTTTAGTGAACAATTCTTCTCTCTTTATATATACCTTTTGGAATGAAGTTATGTCCTGGGATTTTGGTACGGATCAGCAACATTAACATATACTACTGCGTTACTGCCCCAGGCAGGCCACAAAGATTGTTCAGTGGTTTGACATATTCCGATGCGACATAAGGTATTGATTATTTTGTTGTTGCAGTTATTTGCGGGAGCTGTCTCGTCAGCAGTCCTGCTTGCTGTCGCTCCTAATAAGCTTGGTCTTGGTGGCGTCTGGGCTGGCCTTACTCTATTTATGAGTTTGCAAGCAATTGCTGGGTTCTGGAGGTAGTAATGGATGATTCATTTGGAAGTAGACCACTTTTATTAGAAAACCAAGTTGGTAACTTGAGTGATTTTGTGGTTTTTCAGGTTAAGAAGCAAAGATGGACCATGGAAAATAATCTGGTCTGTAACTGAGTGAAGAAAAGAGATAGTGATGGTGTATACTCAAGTATTCGATTAACCACTTACAGTCAACATTTAAAGGCAAGTACAGAACGGCAAGCAGGAAAGGCAGATGACTGGTGGTCATAGTCTAGAATATTTTTTTTCTCGAGGAGATGACAAATGTAGTGATATGGTTACAAGGAAGTTGATATACGGAGTATATATACAAGAACATTAACAAAAGGAAGAATCAGTAACAAATACAAGGCGCAACACAAGAGGGCGTGAGTTTTGTTGTTTTTCGTTTTCGAGTGAGAACGAAAACGAAAACGAACAAAGACACTCCAAGTCAAGACACTCCGCTGTGTGGATACCTGATGTGGCGGTCACCAAGATGATTGATCCGCTCCACAGTGATGGTATGCACCTCCTCCAACTCGGAGTGATGAATCCATCGCTGCGGTCCAGTGGTCTCGTGGTTATCCAAGATGTGTATGTGGAGTTGTCCGTCGCAGATGCGGTATTCAAAGCACAACACTGAATGAAGGCCGACGAGATCCTTTCCAAAACAGAACTTGCTCAACCTCTGAAGCATCTTGCTCCGTGCACAGCCTGACCTGTAAACCAGATCTTCATCTTCAACCGAGTTGAACAAATCATACCATGGGCATACCCATATGGTTCCAATGAAAGGCCCGCGTGTGTCAAGAAGCTCGGCGATGCGGTCCGCAGTCAGGCCACCACCAACGTCCCACCGGTGCCGCTGCCACGAGCGCACTGGCAGCATATATGGCGCTGGAGCTGGTGCGCTTGTCGTCCTCGCTCCACCTAACCTCTGTATCATATCAATCACATCTCCCACTCGAGCTCCTTCTTTCGGCTTCCACACCTTCTGGCAGAAGCAGGCCCTACGCAGCTTGCGGGGGGCCGCGGCGTTGCAGGGGAAGGAGCCAGTCCCGTGCATAGTCTCGTACTCCCTTCTATGCTGTACCTCTACGCACTTGGTGGAAGAGACAATCGCACAAGTGTCTGTGTCAGAATAACAAATATATACTGCATAACTACCTGCACAAGTTACCTGGAGGAGTATATATAGTATGTAAGCCAAAAATAACTTTTAACTTACCTGGAACTGTTTGCTGTAGTGGACTACCAAGAAATTCTTGAAATGAGTTCTTCTGAGTAACTAGATGCAGATCAACTCGCTTCATACACTCATCAAAAGCATCCAAAAAACATGTGATTCCAGCACTGTCAGCAGCAATCCCTAGGCGCATGGCCTCAACACGAATAGGCGCAACCTGCAGTAATTGTTTATCAGTTACAGTGAGTAGAGCAATTGAAGTCCACTGCCAAAATCAATCAACTCACCTTATTACGAAGACCACGTGCTGCCAATACATGCTCTTTAGTCCAACCCTCCATCATACTTGTGTAATCACTTAAGGACTCCTGTTACAACTTACAATCACATCACAAATGTGTAATAAACATGACAAGCAGATTCTAACATAACTCGACGCTCATCCAGAGAATCTGATGCTAACCAAATTCAAATAAGCATATAAATAGACTACTGTTCCCAGGGAGCAAGCCCAACAGAGCACAACTTTAAGGTGAAACTTCAAACATTATCCCAAAATGTACCTAGAATTTTTGGAAACCCAAGTTACAATATTAGATAAGGAAGCTTAATAACTGAAAATCGGAAAACCAGGGTTGCATTTGCTTAGATGAACGAAAATCGGAAAACTTCCAATACTATTCCTTGGAAGTCAATTGATATACCGCTATGGACCCAATAAAATGCCCCAAGGTTTCAATTACTTATGCAGAAGAGTCGAGAACAACAAAAACTTATGCAGCTCTCCCATCAAAATCTTCTATTTTCAGAGCATGTTCAAGATGCATTCAACCCTAGATGTGTTCTATAGGATACAGAAGGAATACAATGTTTGTGCACACCCACTCCCCTCTTTTAATTCAGCGTGGCAATCTTGTAGTGTAGGTGATTGGATTGTGGAGCACTGGAGCTATTGACGATACAATGTACTGTGTTTTTATGTTGATTGATATGTACTCCCTCCGTTTCACAATATAAGACTTTCTAGCATTGCCCACATACATATAAATATTAATGAATCTAAACACATACATATGTCTAGATTCATTAACATCTAAATGAATGTGGGCAATGCTAGAAAGTCTTACATTATGAAACGGAGGAAGTACTTACAAAAAGAATTGTTTTTTTCAGGCACATCAAAGCCTAAAGTATGTAGGACTCCTGGATTTTCATCACCAGCAAGAGTTCCTCCTAGGTTTTCTTCCGGATTTTCATCTCATATTGGTTATCCCCCTCCTGGATTTTCTTCTCAGGGTGGGTCTAATCAGGTGTATGTTTTGGCATAATACTTTTTTCTTGGAAGTCAATTGCGCTACCACTATGGACCCAACAAAATGCTCCAAGGCTTTAATTACTTATGCAGAAGAGTCAAGAACAAGAAAAACTTATTCAGCAGAGGGTGCCCTCCCATCAAAATATTCGATTTGCAGAGCATATGATGAAGATGCATTCAATCCTATGAACGTAACGATAACTATCTTGCATCGTGATTCTCCTAGATGTGTGAACATTAACAAAAAGAAATTAAGCAGTAAGGGATTGAACCGTTGTTTCACATCAAGAACATGAACAAGGCAATAAGGGATTAAAAGCATGGGTCAAGAAACATCAAGAACGGGCAGGAAAGAAAAACATTCTTGGGCCAAGAGGGCACATAAGCTCACCTCGATGTCAGCCGTAACAGGCGGTGATGGTCCGACGAAGATGGCCTCAGCGCTGGTGTCCATGGAGACACCGGTGTGGCGCGGTAGATGGACGGCGCCGTAGGCGGGAGTCGCCGGCAGGGGCATGACACCCAAGAAGAGGAGGTAGCCGCCGATGAGCTGCGGCTCCGAAGGTGTGGTGGTGTTGAGGAGGAGGAGACGGACGGCGGCGACTGGCAAGGGATTTCTTGATCCTTGGCGCAGCGAGAGAGAAGAGGAGAGAACAGAGGAGGAGGACGTTGAGCGCGCGGATGCGGGGAGTTTTCAAGCCGAAGAAGGGACGGACAGGTGGGCCCGACGTGAAGCAGCGTGGTCGGGCCGCCGCATCCCTGGACATATACTGACTTGATCGAGCCCAACAGCCCAACAGTTTAGGTCCTTGGGCCTTGCCTTGCTGGGCTGGAAATCTGACGAGACCCAGGCACGGCGCCTCGATCTGCTGCTGACGATTCGCTCGGGTTCAATCGCCTCGCCGCCACCGCCACCGCCACCGCCACCGCCACCGCCGCAGAGGGATGGCGACGGAAGTGGCTGGCGAGAGGAGGCTGCATGAGATCGAGCTGGGACTGAGTGAGAAACAGGTGGTGGGTAGGAGTGGCGGCGGCGGCGCCCTGACCTGACCTATTAGATCTTAGGGCCTCTGCTCTCTCTCTCACCTGGCCGAGCTCCGTGCCATCCCGCTCCACGCCGGCGAGCTCCGCGCCACTCCGCCGAGCTCGTCGGGGCGCGGGGAATCGGTGGCTCCACCCCCGTCTCGGCCTCCTCCGCCGCCGCGTCCCCGGCCTCTTGACCGCCGCCATGATGTGAGGAGAGGAGAGAGGAAGCCGCGACGTAGGAGGAGCGCCGTCCGTGGAAGGAGAAGGGAGGAGCTCCCACCGTCCCCCGCGCTCCGCGCCGCCGACCTCGCCATCCGCCGCCGAGGGGTGGTGCGCCGGGCGGTGAGTGGATCGGGACGGCGACGGAGAACGTGAGGGAGAGGCCGGAGGGGATAAGGGAGAGGGGAGGGATGGGATTTGTTTTTTTTTTCTTTTTCTGGGTTTCAGGGTGTTTGGCGTAAATTTTGGAACTTCCCATAAATTTTGAAAAATATGAGAACCGAAAAAAAGGTCCTACAACCACTTGCACTGTGAGAAAAGTAAACTTTGGACCCGTATCCTTAGACTACGTGTGTCACGTCCTAAAATTCACGGACCAGAATTTCAAGTAAAGTAAAATATGTACTAAGAGGCTATTAAGATTATACTCAAAATAAATCTTGCCAAAATTTTGGCAAGTTGGCAATATGCTAAAATTTTGGCAGGATTTCTTATGCATTTACCAAATTTTGGCAACAAACTAAACGTAGACATATTTTTTTTGTAACTATACCAAAATATGGTATGGTTGAAAATAACATCAATCTGAACAGCCCCTAAAACTTATGTCCAGAACCAGGCAAGGTACACAAACGATAAAGTTATTACACAGATCCCCGTCTTAAAAAAAATAAAGTCTTACATATACAGCAGGATATTAAAACGAGCTAAGTAATCAACAGAACCCTCATAGCGTAGCGACTCCAATCCACGGGCATCCTTGACGACAGCAACAAGCCTAATCCTCTGAATAGTTGCCATCCAAATACTCTACTTCTGAGGGTTGGAGGAGGAAATAGAGCGAGGCTGATGCAACAAGTCATACCAAGAGAAGGTATGATGCAAGATAATTCGAAAGGAGGCTACAGGTTATTTGCACAAAGCTAGCATTTAAAATCATAAGTTGAAAATAGTGAAACAGCTGATATAAGTTAAGCAATATTAAACATCATTGTCCAACGCTAAACCATGTTGCAATAGGCCCAACCAACCACCTGAACTAAACTAGTTTCATTAAGACAAATTATTAAGATGAGGCAATCAAGGTGAATCTTGTTGATCACCCATAACCACGGGCACGCTATTCGAATAGTTTTATTTTGATCAGAGGTGTACAACTGTACCTACAAGATAGCCCCGCAACACGTTTCCGTGCACCGACATGTCACCACGACATACCGGAAAGAGACTGTGACATGACCCTTCGCATAATCCTCCCTAACTAATCGCACCACACTTCAGGTTTCGCCCCCACCCCTAATCCAGCAGTGGGCAGCCCCCTCTTGTGCCTAGGTGAATCCGGAAGCAGTATAGGCCGTCGCAGGGCCCATCCAAACTCCATCACGCCCACCCTTGCTCGGGTACGTCAGTTAGGAAAAGCTACACTACAAGCCCAGTCGTTGCCCACGCTTAAGAATGGTAATTCTTACGGGAGGTTTCCAGCGAACCGGTCCTTAATTGCCATGAATACGTCTAACAAAACCATGTACCCACAACCCACCATTAACCATGTTTTAGTTTATTAATACCATTGTGGTACATAATCATTAATCTCAGGAATAATCAAGGTCTAGGTAGTAATGTAAATTCCCTTAGTATGCTAGTTGATCGAAGCATGGCTAAGCATCTCCTAAACTAATCATCTAATTGTTTTGTACCCCAAGTTATCAATGATACAAGGTAACAAATAGGCTGAGTACAACAAGTATTCATCCCGCATGACATTATAAAAGTAATGCAATTTAAATAGAAAGCGGGATATTCGTAACATAGGTACAATATGTTCAATGAGATATGCATGAATTGCCCTTGCTCCGACGCTGAAGGAACTTTCGCTACCACTTCGTAATAGACGGGAGCGTCGGGACCGTTGGATTCTATTCGACAAATGAAACACACAAGCAAAACATCAAACATGCTATAAGTCTACTGAAGCAAGAAACAAAACCATTTTAATGGATTTTAGACATTTTTATGAAATTACTGAGACTTGAATGGATTAAATCGGAGCACGAACGAATATGATATGAATATTAGAAGTTTCACTGTATTTTTATTGTAAAAATAAAAGCCATAATGAATTAATGCGCAATTAAGCCTGAGGACTAACGTCATCAAGGGGTGTCGATGATATGGGCCCGGGGGTATCAGGTCCATGAGGAGGAGGCTGCCGCCGGTGGCTACGTGGCCCTTCCCCGAGGAGGGTCGGGCCCGAGGCAGAGCGGCGGCCGCCCCCTCTGTACCTGGGGGTCAGGCTACCCTGACCCCCTCCGCACGGCGCCGCATGTGCGAGGTAGGTGGGCGCCCCCAGCGCCCACCGAACCGCATTTAAGGCGAAGTGAACGGGCGGACCACGCCGCATTAAATGCAGCACGTGGTGCGCCTGGCCTAATTATGACTGGTCTGTGACCAGTCTGTGACCGGTCGAATGACTGACATGACCGAGTGTTGACGAAAAAAATCGAACACACCGGCCTGGGAGATCTGCTTAACTCTTGTGCAGGTCCAAAGGTTGATGAGATGCGAACGTGCCAGTAAGTTTGACCCTGCAACTGACAAGATATGCAAACAGCAGATAAAACAGCCGATCGACTGACAAGCCGATGGAGGAGTTCCAGCCGATAGCCGATAATAGCCGATGCCGATACCAGCCGATAGCGATAGGGTTTAAGCAATCGGCTATATGTCCAATGTAGATAGTGATATTAAGGCAATCGGCTACTGATAATAAAATAAAACAATATAATCCAGTATAAACCAATCGGCTAGCAATGATATGATAGAATAAGCACTGATCCAAAGGTTAAAGCATACATCGGCTGGGGGTCCGATGTCATAAAATCCACAAGATTAGATTAATCAATGAAACCGTTGTTGCGATCGGCTAAATCCAACTTATATGTATATGCAATCCTTATTAACCGATGCAACGTCCAGATAATTTATCGGCTAACACCCCGATAAAACATTAGCATGAACCTATCGGCTTAACAAGACTTATATTATCAACAACAATCTAGTAGGTCGGACCTAACCGATGCAGCACGAGATTGTATGATAATCTAATACTCAATGAGCCGATAGATCTGTCTAATGTGATGGATATAACAAATCTATTTAGAACAATATTGTGATTGTAGAGATATATCAGCTAAGACAGAAGATCAGACCTAACCGAGACAGTTCCAGCTAAACCGATGCGTCTCTAAACACAATGCAATTAAAGATAGAATTGAGATATCAGGTAGGGAAATCAATCAATCAAACTAGAGCGATCCAAGAGATCGATGCGATGCAGCCTTGAACGACGCCGACGTAGATGACAGATTCACTAGAGCCCAATGGAATGTAGGACTTATCCCTTCGCCAGTGATCGGACTGAATCGATGCAGCCCCATGTCAGGTGCCCAAATTCCGCCGGAAGATAAGTAAAAACCTCAGGGAAGAGGGTGGCGATGCGCCGGGAGTATTATTGATCGTAGAGATAAATTACAATGACCCCACGTGTACATATTTATACCTATGGGTAGATACTAGTCCTTGTAGGACAAGAAAGAAGCTTTCCTAAAGATAAAAGGAAAACATAAAGTCCTTATCGGACACTAAACACACTTTCCTAAAGATAAAAGGAAACTAACAAACTATTCCTAATTAATAGATACAACTGCCTTCTTCGGACTCGATCCGTATGTGGCAATCATCATGAAGCACGTCAACTCAATCCGACAATGATTCCAATATCACCTTGCCGGAATCGGCTACATTGGCTTGCCTTGTCCGATTCGGTAACTGCCGATGCACACTATAGCCGATGCGGTTTCGAAGCCGATTCGTACCCTGTTTCCGTTATTGATTTCCTTGCAAATCCGCTTCGGCGTTAACTCCAAATCTGATGGATGATTTACCAAATTTCGTTGTTAACACCGGGGTAGTGCGCCTGCGCACTGCTACATGTTAGGCGACATGCCGCCTGACATCCCCTATCACGTCGAGATGATGAGAGGCTGTTTGGCTGCTCATCGCAGTCGGAGGCTGTTCGCCGGCGCTAAGATGGGCCTAGACGCGAGCCGCGCCCTGGGTAGGGGTGGGCATTCGGTCTAACCAAAAATTTCGGTCTCGGTCTTCGGTCTTTCGGTCTTTGAAAAGTGAAGACCGAATTTCAGCGCAAAAATGTCAGGACCGACAATTTCGGTCTCAGTCTCGGTCTTGACCGAAATTCAACAATATTTTCATATATACAAAGAAATAATGGAAATTTTCAATACAAAAATCACAAAAAAAAATTCGTAAGCACTTATGAGTAAAGACTCTTATTAGGTTGTATGCCTAGAAGAAGTAGGGATGTGAAAATTAGAGTTTAATCCTATTAAACATAGTGGCTTGTAGGTTGCATTTAGACATTTTTTGGTAATTCAGTCTTTTCGGTCTATTCGGTTACCCGAGGAGACTAACCGAATTGACCAAACAAAATTCGGTCTTTCACTACCTAGGACCGAATCGATGACTGAATTTCTCGGTCTTGATCTTTTCGGTTTGGTCTTTTTCTGCCCACCCCAGGCCCCGGGGTACGGCGAACTCTGGGGGCTCGCTCGGAAAGACCTAGAACGGGTCGTCCCCGACCCCTGGTCGCCCACACCCTCGGTATGGCCAGTCTCGCCATGCGGATCACCCCCGAGGCACTAGCGCTGGCCCGTAACGCTCGAGAATGCAACCTGAGCCCGAACCCCGCTTAAGTGAACTCAGCAGGATTAGGCAACGAGTCAGCCCTCTCGCGCTTACCATGACTGACGAAAACTTAAACATATCTCATCACAGGCATTCACAAGTGGTGAAATGCACATAAGGACATCGGAAAGGCATTATTCACGCAAGGCTGGCACAAGGGATTTAAGAGGCACCGACAACTTTGTCGGCCTTAAGGTAACACCAAGTTCATACAAAAAAACAACTTAATAAACAAAAGGGAATTAATTTGCAGATAATCGGGGAAGGGCTCACGATCGCCTATGGGGCGGCCTCCCCCGCACCCAGGCTACCGGTCGCGCTACTGCCGAGGAAGTGATCCCAGTACTCCTCCGGGTCAACATCTTCTGAGGCCACCACGAAGGTGAACGTAGGAGCAGTCCCCTCGAAGTTCCCCATGATCTCCTCCGCAGCTTCGTGGACCTCCGTCTCCTTTGTCCTGGGGGGAGGAGA